GCCGCTAGCCCAAGGAATTTTCGAAGACCTTTGACATCAACCGGCACAGGTCAGTCGGTGATCGCCTTGATCTTTTCGGGATCAGGACGTACACCGTTCTTACCAACGATGCACCCAAGAAGTGGTATTTCGCTTGCTGCAAATATACACTTCTTGAGATTAGCATACAATTGATGCTTTCGCATGATTGTAAGAACCTGTCGGACGTGGTACCTGTGAACCTCAACATCCGACTTTCCATCCATAGCCCGACTATGGATGAATACGTCATCGAAATAACTCGACGCGAATTCTCGTACTGGTCTCAACAGATGTGATACACATCTGTTGAACGTGGCAGGGGCATTACTAAGCCCTTGTGGCATTACTAGCCATTCCCAGAGCATACCGCTAGGCGTGCTAACTGCGGTATAGGGTATATCCCGTTCTCGCATAAGGATTTGATAGAAGCCATCCATCAAATCCATGGATGAAAAGATGGTACTCTTTGACATACCATCAATGATTACGTCCTTCCTCGGTATCGGCGTCTGAGCCGGTACCGTTGCAGCATTCAACTTGTTAAATGCAGGCACTATCCGCCACCCTCCTGTTGCTTTTCGCACACAGAAGGTCGGAGAGCTATGTGGGGAAGTTGATTCCCTCACATGGCCCGCAGCTAAACGATCGGCAAAGAACTTGTCGATCGCAAGTACTTGTTCACGAGGCAGTGGCCACTGCTTCATGACACAGTACTTCGAGCCTGGTTTAAGCTCGACCTCGTGTCGAATACCTTTATCCTTCGGTAATTCGCACGGAACAGTTTCAGGGAATACATCCTTGAATTCAACCAAATCTTCATAGAGAGGATTTGTCTTGAGCGATTCCCACGATTGGGAGTCATATCGCTCAATTCGTGTCTTTTCATCTAGGACACTCTCGTCCATAGATGAACTACTGAGAACTCTTTCGTTCTCAGTGAACACTGTTGCTGACCTTATGTCGGCTACACACTCGTCGTCAGCGACGAGTACGCAGATCTGCTTGGATTTGCCACTACGCAGATCACGCAAGAACCTTTTATGTTCGAGCGTTGGTAACTGAGTGATCTCCGAAGTCAACTTCGGAGGCGCAATCAGATCAAGTGTATAAGCGCCTACGCTTGATCCGTTATTGACTATGACATTCAATGTCTCTGTCATTTCCTGGGGACTTATTCCCTCAGGCCTCGAAGGACTTATTCGTTCGGCTTCCCGGGGACTTATTCTCGCAGGTTTCGGGGAACTTATTTCCGCCGTATTTGTAATCTTGGGACTTATTCGCTTAACTTCCTCTAGCTGGGGTTGCGCAACCACAGCGAGATCCTCTACGAAAGACTCTCCAGTCGATCTAGGATTATCGCGTCGCTTAGCCTGAGCGATCGATTGTTTCTCTTCTAGATGTTCCCCGCTAGGGATACATCTTTGTCCCAGTCCACCCGACTTATTCGAGTGGTGGACCTTCGGCGCAGCCTGTGTTTCCTCACAGCCGCCGGAACTTTTCTCCGAAGTGTAACCGTTTGGTACACTAAGGTTTCGTGCAGTCATACTAACGACCGTACCACAAGTGAGGCCATCGCACTCACTCGTAGTACATCCACACGCTTGTGGACGCTCCAAAACGTTCATCAGATGGCCATCTGATGAATAAGAGGCAGGCATCGTTACTGTTCGATGTTGCCAGTTTACCCGTGAATCGTACCTTCTGAGCCACGGTATTCCAAGGATGACATCAAATTTGTCATCCAAATCCAATACGATAAAGTCATCGTCATATTGGGTATCTTCTAGCGTATAGTGGATCTTCACTATACGCTTCATGACGGTTACGGATGCGCCTGTCGCAAGACGTACCGTCATCCTCGTAGGAGGTATGTCACATTCAACAAACTTGAAGTGACCATCTTCTAGCGATTGGCGTTGCACAAAATTGTTGGACGCCCCACAATCGACTAGAGCTCGAAGGGACAACTTATTCGTCGCTTCGAGTTTCAAGGTAATGAGTGAGATCTCATTACCTAGAGCAGCAACGCACAACGTTTGTGTGTTGGGAGCAACCTTCATCAAGAGGCCTACAAATTCTCTTGACGTTGCTGGATCAGTAGGGTGCTCCGCACCTACTGATCCTGTCTGTTTTTTGACGGTCCATCCCGTTGTTGCGTCTTTGCACCAACAGCGGACCCGCGTCCCTGCCCCTTTCTCATGGGTGGACGGTCACTACGCTCAGTGTCGCGAGACACTGGACGAGGGGCACTACACTCGTAAGCGTAGTGTCCTGTCTTTTGACATCTATTGCATCTCTGCAACTTCTTGTAGTCTGTAGAGCGAGCCTTCTCGCTCTCTACATAACAGAGTTCCATCGGCTCTGAACTCCGCTGTCATATCGTCTCGGTGGACGATATGATGTCGAGCTGGCGCGAGCCTGTCTCAGACTGAAGTCTTCCTGTTCCGCAACGGAAATGGCTTGTTCTAGTGAATCTAGTTCAAGCCGGAACAGGTGAGTCTTGACGGGACCATCCGCAAGACCCTGCATGAACACCGAAACCAACGTGTGTTCATCAACCGAATTGGAACTTGTACAACTCGTGAGATGTCGTATATGTTGCGCGTAAGCGTACACGTCACGCTTACCCTGCTTGAGCTTCAAGAGTTCGGTTCGATCTCTGAACTCAGCTCCAGGCGGTTCAAACGTTTGTCTGAGCCGCGACTTGAAGACTTCCAACGACCCAAACGCATATGGGTCGTGCAACTTGAGCCCCAGTGCCCAAGTCTTGGCACGTCCTGCCAGATTTAACTGGGCAAATGCAACTTGCATATCCCCGTCGTCGATGCGACGCGCCCTTATGGCGTCGTCTAATTCGACAAACCATCTCAAGAGGGAGTCCTCTTCGACTCCCCTATATTTGGAGATGTCAATCTTCAAGGTTTCGGGTCGACGCGAGTACATCGACCCACCAGCAGCAGCCTGCTGCTGTCTCAACAGTTCAAACTGTTGAGCACCCTGTTCTCTCAACAACTCTGCTTGTTGAGAACCTTGTTGGTGAAGCAAGGCTACTTTCTCGCGTCCTGCGTCAAGTTCATTTTGAATGAACTTGGCGATAGTAGCATGTTGGGCACCTCTTTTGAGAGCCTCTAGCATGACGCTAACAGCATGGATGCCCATGGTCGAACCCATTCGTTCAACCGCATCCCATTCGACATCGCTCAAATGGGAGTAGCCGTCACGCGTAGCGTGAAAGCTTTGGTCATCTTCATCATCCAACATATTCATGTTGGATGTGAACGCGGTCCTTGGACGGACTGCAAAGTGCTACCAGGTGTAACGGGGCACCCTGAAGCTTGTACTGGTGACAGTACAAGCTACTTATTCTGATGACAGAATAAGGCGGTGCCTTGGAACTTCACGTACACTCGTACGTGCAGAGGAAGACGGTAAGAAGAAGCGAGTACTCGGTTAAAGTAAAAAGTAGAACTGTATTTATAATAGTTAATGTCTGCAATAAATCACTATTTATCTTCATCTAACTATGTCTAAATACAAATGTGTAAATCAACTATCTGCTCACCACTCATTGCGTGCGTCTGCCGTGGCGCGTCTTCGTTGGTTGATATAATGGCCTATATCAACCAATTAGGAACTACTTGTAAGTGCTACAGAATATTTGTCCTTATGACAATATTCTGAGAAAATAACTCTTATAGTTATATTCTATTAACAATTTCTAATAAATTGTTATGTAACGATTCACCCCGTTACAAAACTCTCGTGTGCGTGTCAGCTTTTGCCAATAAACCAACAATGAAAAGCCATGGCTAATGTTAATCATCTTTCGACGTCGGTACTTTTGCTACATTATCTACTTTTATAGCATAATCCACCAACCTACTTCCCTTGCTCGTAGCCGAGTAGCTCGGTATTCTCGTTGTGCTTGTCTCCAAGCGAAAACGTAATACTGAAGGATGGGAATACGGATAAATTGTGAATCAGGCAGCGTATGAAGTCGCGACGGAGATTCTGGCGGTGTTTCAGTACCTTCAAGTAAATTCTGGCGCTTTGACAAGTCTGAACAAGCCCTACTCGTAACAGCGCGAGGAAAGTTGCAGATGGTGCGGTTTCTCGTTGAGACGTTGGTGGCGGGTGTCATGGGCGTTTACTGAATGCAAAAGAACAGACGTCGAGAGACTATGTAGCTAAAGCACTTTCGAGATTTTGCGCAGCATCTCAAACAGCGTGGAACATTCCTGCCTTGGTGTAGTGCTGTAAGGTCGGAGGCCAGGCGCCATTTCGCTTGTTGCACCTATGGTGCTTTTTGTCCCACTTTTGTGCCAGTCTTTTGTGCCACCATCCGTGCCAGACAGACTTGCGCAATGTTGTGGTGCCGTATTTTCTGTGAAATGAAGCTACGTGGTTCTTTTTTCTATCGAGCCACTGTAATTATCAGACCTAGGAGTGCTCCAGCAGACGATAAAAAAATGCGATAGCGCACCAGGAGGTCGCAGGAGCTTTCAAATGAATGAACGACAATTGCGTGGGACGCGATAAGTGCACAATTGTCGAATTGAATGTTTCTTTCTTCAGCTTTGGACCTGTTTGAAACGGAGTATGTGATCGAACTACTCGGATTTTATCATCGCGACATTGCGTGTCTTAACAGTGTCGGGTGTGATACAGCCCCTACGTGCGCTGCTTCCAATGGTCCAGCTGAAGAGGGTCCAAATCTACCTCACAGCTCGCAATCGCACCAAACGAGGCAGCTGTATGCAGATCGCTACTGTTTTCAACGCAAGGCGAATGGAGATCGCATGACCTGAGACTAATTTACACCGTCGGTGAAGTTTTCCATCATCTCGTTGGTACAAAGATGATGATGGCACCGAGGCGAAGATTACGTTCCTTCTTACGAAACAGCTTAGCTCTGTTGTTGTGTGGAATTAGAATAAGACAGACCTAAGCAACAATTACTTTGTGCGCACAAAGGCATACTACCAAAGCTTACACTTCTTCGTTGGGTTCATGGGTGAGCCAGCAGGACACGAAAACACGCGTGCGAAATCGTGCGAGTTCCTTGCAACTCCATTAATGCGCCACTGGTCGGGCGAGTGCGGATCTGTAGCCAATTTTTTAATCATGCTGGCGTCACTCACCTTAGAGCAAAACTCCTGGGCGAATGAGATGAAGAAAAGCTTGTCAGCCACATCGGTGGGTAGATCAGGCCCTGGCTGGCTCTGCGAAACGGTTGTCGCTCCATCTTCGTTGAACCCGTTTAGCTCCTTGGCCGTATCGGCGACGTAGGTTTCATATGCGTGAAAGGACAACTTTACACCGCCGTTGTCCGCAATGTTCTCGCTGAGAGTGAAATTGCCATTGACGTGACCCAGCACTTTGTCCTGATCATAGCCACTTGTCACCGCAAACTCATCGTATTGCCTCACGAAACAATCAGTCCGCTGTAAGAACTTAGTTTCCGTGTCATTGCTCCACCAGTCCCGCAAGTCGCCGCCACCATCAAACTGCCTTCCAGAGGCATCAAAGCCATGTGTAAGTTCGTGTCCGATGACGCTACCAATCGCGCCAAAATTGCGTGCAGGGTGTTGTTCGCGAGCGAATAATGGTGGCTGGAGAATTCCAGCAGGAAAAACAATGTGGTTTGCCGTTGGCTTGTAGTACGCATTTACATCAGCGCCTGTCATAGCCCATTCGTTGCGGTCTACTAGTTCACCGATCCGAGCCACATCTCGATCAAAGTAGTGCTTCCAGATCATCTGCATGTTTTTGGCAAGCGGTGCGTCGCCGTGTAGTTCATAATGAAAATGTCCGGAACGATTTGAATACCCGACGAGGTTGGTCATGTTGCCCAACTTTTCTATAGCACCCTGCCGAGTGGGTTCGTCAAGCCAATCCACATGCTCAAGATTCTTACGCAGCGATGCCTGAAGCTGCTTCACGAGCTGGTCGGCTAGTCGCTTACTAGCCTTGTCGAATTGAAGAAGCGCAAAGTACTTGCCAGCCAGATCAGGAAAACTGCCTACAACACGCTGAACACACACCTTCCATCGTGGAGCACGTCTCTTTTGGCCCCCGAGCGTTTGCGCGAAGAAAGAGAAAGACGCCTGGACGAAAGGCTCACTCAAGATACTTGCATGGGCGCTGATGTATTGGTACGTAAGCACGGCTTTCAGATTGTCGAGCGTCACAGAATCTCCAGTCACGAGATCCCCAACACGCTCAAAGAACGAAGGCGTTCCGATAATGACACTAGCGTTTTGAGCAACTAGGTGCTCCAGCATCCCCTTCCCATTCACGAACTGTGCAAAAAGTAACGGGTACTTCTCCGCGGCCTGAGCTACACTCATACGATTGTACATTGCCACCGGATCCTGCAGCTTTTCCTTCGGTACGAACAACGGTGCGATCGTTTGTTCAAATAAAAGCACTGAGGAAGCCTGCGATGCTGCCTCGTGTGACTCTGAGCCGACCAGCGAAAACAACTCCACGACGTACGCATGAAATGCGTCACTAATCGTGATAAACTTTTCGTGGTCCAGGTAGTACTGCGGATCCGGCAGAGAAAGACCCGTCTGGAATGCGTAAAGCGCATACACGGTCGCCTCTCTAGCATCTGCCGACACTCCGAGCCCCGTCAAAAACTCAGGTCCTGCTTTTGACAACTTGCCAGCCAGCTGGAACAAATCGCTTTTGCTCGTCACAGCTGCAATTTGCTCAAGTGCTGGCGACAAGACAGCCATTGACGCTTCATCTGCTGTCGCGCTGCTCGTGTTGCTAAAATTCATGCATGAGTCATACAGCTCACTGACTAGTGGCCATCCCTGTTGCATCACTTCTTGTAGGACCTTTTGGTTCTCATCGTGCACGGTGGAAAAGGACAGAGACACGCTCGACTTGTCATCTGGGATCTCAACTTGTTTAAGCCACGACCCGCAACTAAACGCGTACAGATCGTCGCACGGATCCACTTGAGTGTCCAGATGACTCACAACGTCATGTGGGAGCAGCTCAATCCAATCAGCCGCACCGTTAAAAGTGGCTAGAGGATCTATTGCTGCGCGCAAAGTCCCACCCCTAATGACTGAGATGACGACGACAAGGAACAACATGCCTAGACTTCCGACGGCCCAAGCAGCTACCGGCTTTTTCTGCATAAAAAACGGCGGTGGGGCGGCCACAGCACCGTCGTGCAAAGCATTGGGTTCCTTACAGTCACCAAGCAATTGTTCGCTGTCTTTTCCTGCTTCGTTTAGCGCTAATTCAGCGCCATTGACGTCCACAGGGACATCGCCATCGTCTCTGTCGTGAACTCTGGTCCACTTCCACGTCATTGAGACTTTTACAAATTGCTTGATGTGCCCACCACCTTAAGTCATGAACCAGATATGTGTGACACATTCAATACCTGCGTCATAGCATCCCTTTTTACGGAAATGTATAGGTACCCACCCGCCCTTTACACGTACGCACCCAATTATTCGGTTTCCTTAAATTTATCAACAGTGCCATACGTAATCAGTCGTATATATGAAGGAAATTGCCAAATTCACACCCCTTCTCCTTAAATTCACTCCCTTTCTTACAGAGCTAAGATATTCAAGCCCTTTTCATTCTAAGAATTGTTTTCTGACGAAGGTATTACTTGATGTTATTTGCCATTATAAGCAAGTAGTACAGATATAATACGTAACATACTACTCACGCCTGTGTTCTAGCTCCTCCGGCGTTTCCTGGTAGGGTGCCACGCGATAACATGCTTCCTCCTCCCGACGTTGCGTACACCAGTCGGTATCAACTTGAGAAAACTGTGCAGACGTTCGTACGTGGCAAGGTTATGCTGTAACTATTAAAAGATCAATTGCAGGAAAGCGTGTCTAACTAAAATGTGATCAAGGTAATGTGAAAAATCCAAAGGTTGTAAAGGAGCACTAAAGCCAGACCAGCTTACGCCAAATTAATTATCAGTCTCTTTAATGTAAAACATTATCAAAAAAACAGGGCATTGGAAGTTAAAGATGCCAAAAGCCTGCTACAATCACGAGCCGTCACTCTATCCGTCTGGTCATTTACACTCCATTAAGCAGAAAGAGAGCAGGCCGATACTGTCATTTTTTTGAAATTGGCTGGTGGTAAATCGTTTAAGACTTTACATCCCTTCTTATGGGGAATGAACGGGCCCTCGATAACCTTTCTACATTGCAAAATGCAAAACGGGGTGAGCCTTTTACATGAAGTTAACCCCTGATATTTTGTCATCAGAATTTCATCATGAAGGTTGACTATGTTCGTGGATATTACCATAAGGATTACTATTTACGAAGCACTCACCGATCGGCTGATACGGGTCATCATATCAGTCAGCCTTAGCGTGCAACTTAAAGACGGACGCGCGCAATGAGTGTTGAGCAAGACTTTAGCATGCACTTTTGTAAATTAATATAATTAATTTAGGACTAACTATAGATGCATGTGTTTGGGAATTAATTAAATATAATGCAGTCTCACTTTTTATACCTATTGAACGCGTCATTCATTATCTAGTCCTCCTCTGCACGTACAGTGTACGTGAAGTAATAAGTGGCATTTCCTGCACTCTTATCGCCTAGGTGCACTTGCACTGAAGCACTACTAAGGACCAGTTCCCCGTTACATGTGGAACTACTTTGTAGTCCGTGCAGGAGTCGCAATTTCTACATCCAACATTAACATGCTTGATGATAAGAGTGATACTTTTCAAGCCACGCGTTAAGCTAATCCTATCTGAGTGACATCGAATGGTGTGCGATCATTTAGATGTTTTCGACCGTGGGTGAACATGCTGTGTAACGGGGCACCCTGAAGCTTGTACTGGTGACAGTACAAGCTACTTATTCTGATAACAGAATAAGGCGGTGCCTCGTAACTTCACGTACACTCGTACGTGCAGAGGAAGACGGTAAGAAGAAGCGAGTACTCGGTTAGAGTAAAAAGTAGAACTGTATTTATAATAGTTAATGTCTGCAATAAATCACTATTTACCTTCATCTAACTATGTCTAAATACAAATGTGTAAATCAGTTATCTGCTCACCACTCATTGCGTGCGTCTGTCGTGGCGCGTCTTCGTTGGTTGATATAATGGCCTATATCAACCAATTAGGAACTACTTGGAAGTGCTACAGAATATTGTCCTTATGACAATATTCTGAGAAAATAACTCTTATAGTTATATTCTATTAACAATTTCTTATAAATTGTTATGTAACGATTCACCCCGTTACATGCTGTCTCTGCCATGCTGTCCGCACGGGACAGGGCTGGCAGCATGCCGCCGTCGCCAAGATCATACAAGATGAACTTGAAGATTCACGGAGAAAGTATCCTTGCTTCACCAGCAAGATTTTCAAAAAATTTGAGTTATTGAGAGAGCAGGGTACTCGATCAATCGAATTGTTAAGACAACAGCAGGCACATGCTGCTTTTACCGGAGCGACGCACGTGCGTCGGATCGAAACTTTGAAAATCGACATCTCAGAGTGCAGAGGAGTCGAGAAAGAATCCCAGCTGAGATGGTTCGTCGAGTTGGACGACGCCATAAGGGATAGTCACAATGTCGGTGAGCAAATGCGACTTGCATTTGCTCAGTCGAACCTATCTGAAATTGCCGAAAGCTGAGCATAGGGCTCAACGTGCACGACTAATATGTGTTTAGGTCGTTGGGGGTCTCCCAGATTCGACTCAGACAAACGTTTGAGCCGCCAAGGGCTGAGTTCAGCGCTCGACCAGAGCTGCTAAAATTATGCAGGGTAAGAGTGATGCGCACACTTACTCCCAACACATTCGACTTCTTGAGATTAGTATCAAAGCCAACTCGTTTCATTAACACAAATTGATCACTGTCTTAAAGAGTCTTGCGAATGGTCTCGTCAAGACTCACCTCTCCTTGTAAGTGGATGTGCTAGAAGAAGCGAAATAGGAAGAGACTCGCCTGTTCTGCTTGGAACTAGATATGCTAGAAGAAGCGTAACAAGAAGAATTTAGCTTGAGAAAGGCTCATGCTAGTATGGAATATAATTTCCCTCAAGACGAAAAGAAGTGGGAGGTAAGGACCTATGGACCTCTGTTATGTTAAGAGAACGAGAGCTTGTTCGTTAGCCAACGAGCGATTGAAGAAGTGCAATCGATGTGAGAGGCTAGGACATTCCGCTTACGAGTGTAACGCCCTAATCTTCAGTGTCTCGAAACACTGAGCAAGCTGATACAATAAATTTCCAAGAAAGGCAACGAACACGGGTCGAACGTTATTGCGAATTCGTAATAGCGAAGCGGACCGTAAAAGAAACAGTCAGGATTTGTAAGGGCGGAGCGCCTTGATGATCCAGCTATTTCAAGAAATTGCAAGCCTCTTGATGAAAATTGCTCCATACTAACACTTCTTGCCCTAAAATACTGTGGGGCGTAGACCAACTAATTGCTCCATACTTACAATCAAATTGTGTCACTGTACTTGGCAATGAGGTTCCCCTTATCACCTTGAACTTGAATATGGCAAAAGAGTTTCCACTTCTTGCCCTAAAATACTGTGGGGTGTAGACCAACATTGTTCGTCGCCAGTAGTTAGAAAATCGTAGGCTCAATTTTGTTGAGATCGATTTTATTCCTACCAGGATGACGGTGCGCCCAGCGACAGGCACATCGATGAATTTGATAAAGCGTGTAGTGAGACTTCACTTTACAACGGAAGATCTGCAGTACAATGACGTTTTCATCGTACTTAATTTGGATAACAAGTTCGATGACATCCTAGGTTTGCCTTTCTCAGAAAGTGCGAACCATGGGTCAGCCGACAGCATCAATCGTGATAATACCAGCTACTAATTCATCAGGTGGCCACCTGATGGTCGTCTTGGCGCGTCCACAAGCGTGTGGATGTACTGCGAGTGAGTGAAATGGCCCAGATCGCGGTACGGTAGTAAGTACGACTGCACAAGATCACAGTGTGACTTACGATCACAATGTTGAGGAAGCTGCCTGTGGCTGTAGAGATGTACAGGAAGCGCCACAGTTTCACAACTTGAAGATGTCGAGTGGATAAGGACACGGGTGTGCACCTATCAGGCGACATCCAAGTAAAATTTAAACCGGTTGCCCACACCAGACAAAACGATGATCCTAGATCGGCTGGAGAGTCGACAGTAGATGATCTAGCTGTGGTTGTGGACCACAGCACGAAGATGTCAGGGGAATAATTATCGATGTATTTGATGAAGAAAATTCCCTAGCATTTTTTTGCTGAGGTAACAAGACCTCATTAACCTGAGTAAGTGAGTCCCCAACAGCCTGTAGAAAAGGGTACAGTAAAAATATAAGGCAATGAATGTATTGGTTGATTAAGGGTCGAGTGGAGACGCTTACACGCTTAATCTGATGGCGCTGCCGAAATTGACTTCGGAGATCACACATATGCCAGCGCTAGATTTGAAACGGTTCTTGCCAGATATGCGTGATGGTAAAGTCAAGAAAATCTGTGTACTTGTCACAGAATACGAGTACGTGACCGACATTCTGTCGGCAGTAGTATATGCCGAACACGAACGGGTTTCTAGTATCTCATTGATAGGCGAGAGTGTCCTAGAAATAAGGGCTCGGATAGAATACGAGTACGTACCCGGGGTTCGGTAAGCAGCTGTATGCCGAGAGCGAACGGGTTTCTAGTATCTCATTGATAGGCAAGAGTGTCCTAGATTAAAGGGCTCGAATTAATCGATGCAAATCTCAATCTTTGGAGTCGCTTCAGGCAATCCTTTATTTGAGGATCTTATTTTAATTTCAAGGGCGAGTTCCCCGAATCCGTGCCATGCGAGTTATCTAAGGGCAAAGAAAATTGACAAGAGACCGAGCTCATACCGGGCTCGAAGTACTGTGTCATGAAGAAGTGGCCACTTCCCTTGTGAACAGGTCACAGCGATCGGCAAAGAATTGGTCGATCGCTGAGCTGCTAGTCATGTAAGGAAGGCCACACCCTATCACAGCTTTGATTAAGCTTCTGTGTTCGAATTGCCAAAGAAGGATGGCGGATGGTGTACGCGTCCAACAAGTCAAATACTACAACGGTACAAGCCCAGACGCTGACACCGAGGAATGAAGTAATCGTATATATCATGTCAAAAAGTGCCTTCATCTCGTATAAGGGTCTGAAAGATGGGTTTAATTATATCCTCATGCGTGCACGGGACATCTTGCACACAGCAGTGAACACCCCGATCGGTTTGCTTTGCTTTTGGCTAGTAATGTCACAAAGGCTTAGCAGCGCCCCTGTCACGCTCAACAGGTGTCTAATTAATATATTTTAA